ATTTATTTATTTATTAAACCCCTCCCAAATTAGGAGGATATATAGTGTTTTCATACTTCCCCTCCATGGTGACTCGAACCCAAAATCTAACGGTCGTAGATGAAGGTGCTTTTACCAATTGAGCAAGCCTCACTTGTCGACGTGGGTTGTTCGACGAGGAATTCTCAGAGAAATTGCTGGTTCATAGACTATTATTTTTTGTGGAGAAAAAACAAGACACATTGTTGTCATTGCCTGCTTTAGGGTATTATTGATATTCGGTCGCAAAGTTAGGGTTGGTTCAATTCTTGAGTGCATGTGATATTTTTACAAGTTTACTCGCAATTCCTATTATTTTATCACTGGTGTCAGAATTTATATCGACTAAATTTGACCATGGGGTGGGGAGTGGGAGAGGGTAGCCTAATCACTTTAACTAAAAAAGTTCAAAATTTGTATGTTTGAATACTGATTCTCAACTATATATTGGAGCTTGTTAGAGGTTAAAATAGCACAGTCTAGCCAATTTTCAGACTGGTCATTTAAAAATAGCAAGCGTTTACCAAGTCAATAAAAAATAGCCAATATTTTGCTACAACAGAGATCGATCCAGCATAATATACTGGAGTTCGGTGCATCTGTGTATGAACTTCCAACATATTATGCTGGACCGGTATACTTTGCTGGCTCCAGTTTAATATACTGGAGACTGGAGCATCGGTGCTCCACACTCCAGTATATTTTGCTGGACCGGTATATTATACTGGAACTCCAATATATTATGCTAGAGTATTTTTCCGGATTTTGAATAGTATTTTCGTTCAGATTTATCTTTACATAAAAAGTGGCTAAATTTCGATTACTTTTGAAACTGTAGCTATTTTTGAATGACCACTTGTAAATCTGGCTATTTTTGAATTTCTCTCTTGTTAATGACTTAAACCATGTGGTTAATTGGATAAACGTGAGGTGACTGTTGTGGGCTTAATTGTTGGGCCTAAAGTAGCTGAAACTTCCCTTTATTTTACATAAATACAATCAAACATCTCTATAACAATCTCGTTTGTTCCGATATTTTTTTGCTGCTATAGTGAGGTGTTGTTATAAAGGACGTATATTATAACATAACATAAAAATTAATTCCGAAAAAATTGACTTTTATAGTGAATGATTGTTATATAGAGATGCAGTTATAAAGAGATCTGACTGTACATATAAAATCATAAAATATTTCATATTCTTTAACTATAAAGTAATTAACATATTCTACAACTTTAACACGATGAAAGGATAAAGGAAATAACTCTTAAATACAGTAGTAACTTCCTATAAACAAAGAAACTGAATATCAAACATATTTAATAAAATCAATTGTTCACTAAAAATACTCCAATGCAATCGCTATAAATAAGGAAACTAAATACTAAAAATTCTCCATTGCCTTTTTATTTGTATTCTTTCTTCTCCACCAAATTCCCAACAAACAATTCATTCTTTATCAAGGTGGCGTTATGTTTAAATTGACTTCCCTTCCCCTTCAACCTGCCCAATTCAATATATATATATA